CCTTCATTTCCTATAATTCCTTCTGGATGAGTGGTATTTTCAAAAGCAAACATATGTATATTTCAAAGTTCAAAGATATGATGCATCAAAATCATATATTCTACCTCATTATGGTAGCTATAATGATTAGTGCTACAATGTTTTTTTTTGTCTTTTTTAGCACACTGACATTCAGTAAAGACAGATAAAGTCTTAGAAAATAAAGTGTACTTGAGTGTACATATATATCTGGTGAATGTTAAAGCAAAACTTGATTAACTGTCATCAAAAGGCTTGTTGATATGTTCTTTGCCTGTGTTGTTCAGTTTCCTATCTTTTATCTTAATGGTGTTGACTTGGTTTGGCCAAAAGGAATAAGAGGTGTTTTTTTTTTTTTAATGAGATATGACTCTCAAGCATAAATTCAGTTTTCTTCACCTGAAGCATGGCAATCCCTTGACAACACTGGTATTCTGATTCTAAAGTCAACGAACAATAGTTTTACTGACTTTAATAACATTTACTTTAATACATACATGTAATACATATGCATAAGCTTAGTTTCAACTATTTTTCTATTAGTTTATGGATCAGACTAAGATTAATGTTGTATGAGATGTTCTAGGTAGTTTGAGTCAACCACAGTTATTTGTGCAGGTGTGAAATGAACCATTTGCGTAAATTCGGAGCTTAACCCAAACATAATCTCGAGAACTGTGTTTTTCTAATTCCTTTAATTTTAAAGTTTAAAAGACTTAAGGAAATTAGTACTTAAGGTTTCCTGTGGACCTAGTATGTGAACCCTGTAATCTATGACTTTCCAACTGTCAATTCTGTGATTTACGGCTCATATTACTATTTCCAGCTGTTGAGAAACTACTTAGCTAAAGATTAGTTGTATAAAAAAGAATAAAGGTGATTTATACTCTGTCCTGAGAGCTGTTGCATTGTCAAAGGCATAATTGGAAGGGTTTATCATTACAGCAAGCAAGTTGCATAGATCCTGTTTTGCAGTGCATGAACCATGACAAATGTTTGGGATTGTACTGTCACTCCAAGTAAAGCTGAGGAGCTAAGATAAATGTTTTGACATTAGCTGCACTGTTGATCCCAATCTCTCCTTCTCTCAAAATAATTAACAATTTTAGGTATTTCTTTGTAACATTTACCTTCATGAATCTCATTATACCTTTCAAGTTTATATGCAGATGAGATCCTGTCCCAGTTTATTATAATCAGTGGTAATTTCACCATTGGCTTATCACATTGTTCAAGGAAAGAAAATCAAAAATTCTTTCACAGACCTATAGTGTTTTGATGATGCATTGGTGGACGCAGTGGAATTAAAGTTCATTATTCTGCCTGGATCATTCCAAACCTTACTGTTGCAGTATCTCAAATCGTAGGATAGGCTTCTTAAATAAATTAGCACATGAAGAAGTATATGCAAATAACAGTTCTGTCTATAAGGAAGAAAGTTGTCCAGCAATAATCTCTGTGAAAGATGAATGTCCCCAAACTAACGCATTTTATGAAAGTCCCTGTTTGCCTAAATCAGTTAATCTACATAAATTCTGAAATATGAATGCATGAATCAGGTCTTCAGAAGTGTGCCACCTTCATTCATCTATAGCAGTGGTGGGTTCCAGATCCCATTGCAAGGTGCCCCGGTGTCTTCCACATGAATGCATACAGTGTGTGTGCACATGCACGCAGCCCATGCATGAATCTTACCACCCAGCGACACCTCTGCAAACCTCTGCAATGCTCCAGCTGCTCTGCAGAGCA